TATGCTGTGTAACCTTCCAATACTGGTTTCCATTTACATATTTTAGATAAGTAAGCCTTATTTGCTTTACATATATTTTCATCTGTGTCTGGCCATCACATCAATCTGAAACGGGTATTAACATTTTTCAACATGGTGGAAATACAAATTGATAGCAGTAGTAAGATCTAGACGATACAACCGAACCCATTATGATCAAATTGATTTGGAAAAGGTTGCAAGGTACTATAGAACAAAAGCCAGAAAAGATATTTTGAAATCCATATCGTGTGCTAACCATTCATAATCTAACATGACAAAAGTCTTAGACTATACAATGTTAGCAGGAGACTATAACTCTCAAAGATATTAAAATAAAAGCTGTATTATAGAAACAAAGAAACACATAAAAATTTGCTATATTCAGACTATTGTTACCTTCTCAGGGAAAAAACATTGAGCCAAGGAAGGACATAGCCAGGTAAAAGTTACAGATTCTGGAGCTTACTGCACAGCATTTCCAAGACACTGTGATAAAGGACCTATAATGAGTAACTTTATGTGTGTGCTTGTGTGTGTTTAGAATGAAGGGTAGCATATGAGGTTTCAGTGATGATGGGAAGAGGTTGATGGCCAATACTAAATTTCTAACATAAATTCACTTGTGAAGAATGTGGTTATTACTCAAATATCTCAATAAATTATGCATATTATGAGTGAATGGAATACCCTGACATATCTCCCAGAGAGTAGGATTGGGAATGCATATTTTACAGTATTAGGGAGCTCTATATTTTCCAAAGCCAAGAACTGTGGTAGATCTGATTCAATTCAGGCTCTCTAAACAATAAGATGACTTTGACTTTTTATGTTAATTAAAGGGTTCTTGGTGCCTACTAAATCTTGAATAATGATCTGGATTGACTGATGTGAAAGGTGAATATGAGCTTCAGACTTAACACTTTTTCTATTTCTGATGCTGCTGTCTTTGACATGGAAACCAAGGTAAAGTACTTTCAGTGAGCTAAAAGAAAAACCTCTGCAATAATTGCCCTTTCTATAACTGTCGTTGAGGGTGGTTATGAGGAGGAAATAAGGGAGCTAAACTCTTTGAATGGAAAGCAACAGGCAGTTTGCCCCTGGTTGAAACGCAAAAAAAAAAAAAAAAAAAGGTATCTCGTGTCATCATCAGTCCTTGTGATCTTATTACTTTTATGGTGTCACATGTGTAAGCTACAGAAACATGTTCTGACTGGAGTCTCTGGCACCAGTACGAAGGAGAGTCTCAGCAGCAGTTTTGGTCTTTGAAGCCAATTAATATCTGATAAAATTGTTCGTGACTCCACTTTAGAATTAGTAGGCTTCTACTTAGCAGAGGTTAAAGATGCAATCACTACTAAAGAACATCAAATCCCTTCAAGATCAGGGATTTCAGTAACATCCTGTCTAATGTCAACAAAACATTAAATAAGGAGCCAAGTAAATACGTTGATTAAATAAAACTGGTCCATACAGAAATACGAAAATCAGCACCATATAAGAAGAATCCATAATATTCCTAAAAATATTACAAATGTGTCTTTTTAAAGTACTTTATCCCAACAAAATGATCTATATCTGGCAAAAGATGTTCACTCACCATTGGTCATAATTTGCAATATTTGTCTTATATTTGCAAATCTCCCCTCCATACACACACACACACACACACACACACACACACACACACATATACTATAGTGAATGGCAGCATTATATCACAGTATTGTAGTGAATGGCAGCATTATTTCACAGTATTGAGAGAGACAGAGAGAGAAACAGAGAGAGAACATAGTACATAATATATAGTATACAGATATAGGGTATGTACATAATTTATTGTATATACTACGCTGTATTTATATATTGGCTGGAAAATTGGGAGGCAAGAGCATATATCATAAGTCACTCCAAAACACTTATAAATGTGTTTTCAAAGAAAACAAGAAAAATGTGTTTCAAAGAAAAAAGGATCTTATTTTAACTTAATCACAAATTACTAAATTCAGAAAATTTAAAACTCATAAAATATTAATGTATGTCAATATTCAAATATCACCAATTGTCTAATAATGTCCTCTTACAATATCAATGCATAGTCAAACATTATAATACACATTTGAACAAAGAATTTCAAGTGATAGAATAGCTAATTCATTATTATTTTCTAATAAATTTTATACATTTATTTGCAATCATGACTGGTGAGAGAGTACACAAAATAGAAAGCCATAAGTATGTGCAAAATCTGACATAATTAAGAGTTAAGGTAGCTTTTTTGGAATATGTTTTAGTATACATTTTTCTAGAAGCCAAATAGTAGTCCTCTTGTGCATTACTGGACAAGCAAACAATAGACTATGTGTAAAACAAACAACTTGCAATGAATTCTTGAAGGGAATATATGGTGCGAAGCTACTTTTTACACAGTTAACATAAAGACATACCTTGTTTTTCTGAGTAAGTAATCTATACCCCAAAATGCACCTGTACCCTCGGCTGCCTTCTGGAAAAAAAAAAAGAAAAGAAAAGAAAAGTATGATTAATTAACTAGGGTTTGGTTCATAAGGTTCGTGATGTTATCTGCCTGAGGAATATCGAAGCAATTATTCACTTTTGAAAATGAGGAAAATGGCAAATAAAATGTACTTTGGGGGAATTTGAAATATGTTTCTTTCAAGAATATATCCAAAGGTGGAAGTCAGCATGGCATCATGTAAATGCTTTGCAAACGTAGGCAGTTAAAACTCTGAAAGTCTTACCCCAATGAGAACACACATAATATTTGTAAAAGGTTTAGGTGTTGATTTACAGATTTCTTATTATCTAACTGATTTTAGGCATATGTGCCTGAAGATGATGGTATTTAACAATTTTTTAAATGATATGCCCAGTGAGTCCTTAAGATGTGACATGACACTACTGTATTATATGTCTTAGCATGCTATTTTCTAAATGCTAATGAGAATGGTTCTAGCAAATAAAATGTTAACACAGTCTAGAATGAAAAGTTAGTGAAGCACAAGCACTCATACTTGACTACAATTCTTGGGTGTTCTTTATTTTTGACCACAAACATAAAGGAACATAAAATTTGCAACATTTGCATGATACCTATATTGATCTTCCATGCACCACATGGCATTTTCTACTTCAGTATGCATCAATAGCCATTATTTTGTAAGTTGGTTCCAGTTTTCAGTACAGATTATAGACTATCGTTATTGCCACAACAATCATTTCACTACATATCATACATATGTAATACAAACATTTATTATACTATATGTTGCCTTCTAATATGAAGCACCTTTATACCAGACATCTTAGAGATGCTGAGTTAATATCAGAATTAACCCAAAATCCTTATTAGACCATTACATTAGATACATATTGAAAACAATGAGTTTAATGTTCATCTGTGTCACCCAATATTTTAAAAAACCTCTACTCAATAAAGCAATGATAAAAGTGTCACTAGTGTAATACTTATTCCCTCTACAACTATGTTGACTATTTCTTATAAATTATCTTCTCATGGGAAATCACTTATTTATAATCAGTTACTCTAGGGCAAAGGGAAATATGGTGTCTAGTAATGTGGATCCTTACATGACAGTTTTTAACTTCTTATAAACTTTAATTTCAAGGTCACTTCTATAGCGTAGTGTTTGTTTCATAGTACTCAATTATAACGATTCAAAAGATGAAATTGTAATTTGACAATACCATGATGAAAACTGTGTTTCTAAGGAGTATAAAGGTTTTAGGACTACAGTTTAAATCACTGTCACTGAGACCAGTGTTTAATTAGTTTTAGATACCTTCTCTACTTAAAACTGATATATTAACTTGCTGGAGCTTTGTTTTTCATTACCAAAGTCCCAGACTGATTAACTTGTTCTATGATCTGTGTAATCAATTGTTTATCATGAATTGAACCAACAGCTGCAGAACACAGTTGGAAATAACCCCGGAGCAAAGGAAGACATTATTTCAGGAAGAGAAAACAGAATAGAAGGAATAAAGCCAACTAAAATGTAACTTACACAAAGAAGAGTTTAAAGGTGTCTCTAGGATGCTACTTAACTATTAACAAGAAACAGTCTCAGCCCTCAGGTCCTAAAGTAAACACATTGACAGTGTAAGAGTAAATTATCCATGAGAGTAAAAGAAAGGTTGAAGATCTTGTTTTACATGAGGTTTAATTATACTATTTAAAAAATGATGTTCTTCATATTTTTATTGTTATAATTGTATATATCTGTTGAACGTACATGATTAATATCTTCATACATGAAGTAAAACTATTTGTTTCACTTTTGATACATATATTCAGGAAAGTCTATTTGAAATAGATTTATAATTTATTAGTACTACATAAATTAAGTGTTGTGCTAATTATAATAAGTACAATTATGTTGATACTTGATGTGAGCAGAATAACAGTACATTATTCAGCAGATTTTTAAAATTTCTTTATTTTTAATTGATTAATGTATGTACCCTTAACACTAACATAAATTAGATTTTCAAAAATGTTTTGAAATTAAATAAAATAAATTAAAATTAATTTTTTCATAATACAAATTTAAATTGTTTATTTTAGTTTTCATTATTTATTTTTCCATTACTTGCTCTACTTCCTCCCAAAGGATCAGTCCAATAAAAAAATGTTGCATGTCACTCTCCTCAGCATCCATTTTTGGAGAACCTAATTAGTGACAATATCCCATAAGTAAATCAGATAGAATTCATTTTTTAGCATTTTCTTCTAAATGGTATTAGTTTTATTAATTGAGCCTATTCCATTTTTCTTCCTTGATAAAATTTTAATGGCTTAGGGAAGTATAAAGTTACTTTATAGACAATGATTGAAATGATTGGTCATATTAGCTTTAGCAGCTTTATTTTAAAAATTAATTATATGTCTTCCTGAACAGTTCATTGACTGTCTCCACTGTAACAATTCATTTTCTTAGTAAAAATGAGAGAATGAGATCAGAATATGGATGCATTGCAAAAGGTGGAGCCCTGGAACAAAAGTAAGAAGTAATATGCTTTCAAGTTTTTTTTCAAATTTGCTTTGAAATTTTTCTATATCATCTACATATCATCTATCTATCTATCTATCTATCTATCTATCTATCTATCTATCATCTCTGTCCAATCTAGATTTCTGTTTGAAGGAGGAAGGGGAAATACTATATTAGAATCTTCTTTCAAATAAAAATATTGAAGAAATATTTCAACTTTTTTTTTTTTTTTTTTTTTTTTTTGAGACGGAGTCTTGCTCTGTAGCCCAGGCTGGACTGCAGTGGCCGGATCTCAGCTCACTGCAAGCTCCGCCTCCCGGGTTTACGCCATTCTCCTGCCTCAGCCTCCCGAGTAGCTGGGACTACAGGCGCCCGCCACCACGCCTGGCTAGTTTTTTGTATTTTTTAGTAGAGATGGGGTTTCACTGTGTTAGCCAGGATGGTCTTGATCTCCTGACCTCGTGATCTGCCCATCTTGGCCTCCCAAAGTGCTGGGATTACAGACTTTTTAAAAATTTCAAAGTCAGTTTTATCCAGGATTCTGTAATTGCTCAAGTCATTGTTATTTTTGAAGAATGTACAAATTCACTAATCTATTTATGAGTGAATATTAATTACATACACCTAGTGCACATATAAAGTTTCATAATATGATTCCAATTTTGTTTTGAACAAACTAGTTAGGGCAAAAATAATAAAAAAACATTAATGTGTTCATTCATTCACACATCTTTAGTATTCCTTAGAATCATTATAAGAAAGAGTATCTGCTTTACATGGAATATACAAGGATAATTGACAAATTCTGTTATTCAAAGGGTTGACATCTACTGAGGGTGATACACATATCAATGCATAACTAGAATTTGGTGTAATAGTTGCTGATAAAGAAACTGTGAAGAAAGTCCTGTGTACTCAAATAAATCCACAAAAGTGAACTTTGGTATGAGTGGATTAGGGAACACACACAATACACACACACATATACACACACAGACACACCACCCCTCCCAAATTCTATTACCATGATTGTCTATGTCCCCATTTTATTTAGTCAATATTGTGACCAATGAGGTAATTTTAATAAAATGTATAAGTATGTAAATACTAATTTAGACAAGACACAGCTACATCGTGTAATATGCTTTCACTTTATTCTTTTGCCACATTTTGCTTCTCCTGAAGTTATTTGATATTTTGCTTTTTGCTTTCTTATTATTTTCACCTGCTAAATTACTATCCTTACTCAATTGCTTTTCTTATTTCCTGAGTTGTCCCTCTTCTCCCTTTAAGAGTTTTATCATCTTATTCCAGTCTGCACTGCTATGTTTACTATTAAAAAAAAAAAAAAAAAAAAAAAAGTTTAACCTTTGTTTTAGGTTCAGGGACACGTGCAGTTTTGTTACACAGGTAAACTTGTGTCATGTGGGTTTGTGGTACAGATTATTTTATCACCTAGGTATTAAACCTAGTATCATTAGTTATTTTTTCTGATCATCTCCCTCCTTGCATCCTCCACCCTCCAATAGGCACTAGTGCATGTTGTTCTCCTCTATGTGTCCATGTGTTGTCATCATTTTGCTTCTACTTATAAGTGATAACATGCAGCGCTTGGTTTTCTGCTCTCATCTTCGTTTGCTAAGGATAACGGCCTCCAGCTCCATCTAAGCTCCTGAAAAGGCACAGAACATGATCTTGTTCTTATTTTTTGGCTGTATAGTATTCCATGGTGTATGTGTACCACATTTTCTTTATCCAGTCTATTATTGATGGGTATTTATATTAGTTCCATGTCTTTGCTTTTGTGAAGAATGTTGCAGTGAACATATGCCTATCTGTGTCTTTATAGTAGAATAATTTATATTCCTTTGGGTATATATTCAGTAATGAGATTGCTGTGTCAAATGGTATTTCTGTCTTTAGGTCTTTGAGGATTTGCCACACTGTCTTCCACAATGGTTGACCTGATTTATACCTTCCATCAACAGGGTATAATTCCTTGTAAAACTTGCCAGCATCTGTTATTTTATGACTTTTGAACAACAGCCATTTTGTCTGGTGTTAGATGGTATCACGTTGTGGTTTTGATTTATATTTCTCAAATGATCAGTGATGTTGAGCTTTTTTTCATATGGTTGTTGGCTGCATGTATGTTTTCTTTCGAAAAGTGTCTGTTCACGCCCTTTACCCACCTTTTTATAGGGTTATTTGTCTTTTCTTGTATATTTGTTTATGTTCCTTCTAGATGCTGGATATGACACCTTTGTCAGATGCATAGTTGACAAAATTTTCTCCCATTCTGCAGGTCATCTGTTCACACTGATGATAATTGCTTTTGCTGTGCAGAAGCTCTTTAGTTTAATTTGGTCCCACCATTTGCCAATTGTTGCTTTTGTTGTTGCAATTGCTTCTGGCATCTTCATTGTGAAATACTTGCCCATGACTTTGTCCTGAATGGCGTTGACTAGATTGTCCTCCAGGGTTCTAATAGTTTTGGGTTTTACATTAAATCTTAAACTACCTTGAGTTAATTTTTGTGTATGGTGTAAGCAAGGGGTTTAGTTTTCATCTTCTACATATGGCTAGCCAGTTATCCCAGCACCATTTATTGAATAGGGAGTCCGTTCCCCATTGATTGTTTTTGTCAGGTTTGTCAAAGATCAGATATTTGTAGGTGTGTGGTCTTATTCTGGGTTCTCTATTCTGTTCCATTGGTCTATGTGTCTTTTTGTATGAGTACCATGCTCTTTTGGTTACTGCAGGCTTGCAGTATAGTTTTAAGTTGGGTAACGTGACACATCTGGCTTTGTTCTTTTTGCTTAGGATTGCCTTGGCTGTTCAGGCTACTTTTGGGTTCCATATGAATTTTTAATTAGTTTTTTCTAGTCTGTGAAGAATGTCAATGGTAGTTTAAGAAGTACAGAATTGAATTTATGAATTACTTGGGGCAGTATGGCTGTTTTAATTATATTGATTATTCCTTTCCATGAGCATGAGATGTTTTTTTCATTTGTTTGTGTCATCTCTGATTTCTTTGAGCAGTGATTTGTAGTTCTTCTTGTGTAAATGTTTTACCTTTCTAGTTACCTGTATTCCCAGGTATTTATTCCTTTTGTGGCAATTGTGAATGAGAGTTTATTTCTGATTTGGTTCTCAGCTTGACTATTATTTGTGTATAGAAATGCTAGTGATTTTTACACATTGATTTTGTATCCTGAGACTTCACTTAAGTTGTTGATCAGCTTAAGAAGTTTTGGAGCTGAGACTATAGGGTTTTCCATATATAGAATCATGTCATCTGCAAAGGATAGTTTGAATTTCTCTCTTTCTATAAGGATACCCTTTATTTATTTCTCTTGCCTGATTGCCCTGACCAAAACTTCCAATACTCTCTTGAATAGGAGTATTGAGAGTGAATATCCTTTTCTTGTGCTGGTTTTCAAAAGGAATGTTTTAGCTTTTCCCCATTCAGGATGATGTTGACTGTGGGTTTGTCATATACAGCTCTTCTTATTTTGAGGTATGTTCCTTCAACACCTTCTTTACTAAGAGTTTTTAACATGAAGTCATGCTTAATTTTATCAAAAGGCTATTCTGCATCTGTTGAGATAATTATGTGGTTTTTGTCTCTAGTTTTATTTATGTGATAAACCACATTTGTTGATTTTGTGTGTTGAACTAGCCTTGTATCCCAGGGATAAAGCCTAATTGATAATGGTGGATAAGCTTTTAGATGTGCTGCTGGATTTGGTTTGTCAGTATTTTGCTGAGTATTTTTGCACCAATGTTCATCAAGGATAATGGCATGAAGTTTCCTTTTTTGTTGTATCTGTGCCAGGTTTTGGTATCAGGATGATGTTGGCCATAGAATCAGTTAGGGAGGAGTCCATTCTCCTCAACTTTTTGGAATACTTTCAGTAGGAATGGTACCAGCTCTTCTTTGGTAAAGTTCATCTGTGAATCTGGGCTTTTTTTTTTTTTTTTTTTTTGGTAAGTAGGTTATTTATTACAGCCTCAATTTCAAAGCTTGTTATTTCTCTGTTCAGGGATTCAATTTCTTCCTAGTTCAGTCTTGGGAGGGTGTATGAGTCTAAGAATTGATACATTCCTTTAGGTTTTATATTTTATGTGCTTAGAGGTATTCATAATATCCTCTGATGGATGTTTGTATCTCTGCAGGGTCAGTGGTAATATATCCCCTTTGTCACTCCTGACTGTGTTTATTTGAATCTTCTCTCTTCTTTATTAGTCTAGCTGTTGCTCTGTTTTGTTAATTTAAAAAATAAAAATAAAAACCACAGGCTCCGAATTCATTGATCTTTTGAATTTTTTTGTGTGTCTCTATCTCCTTCAGTTTAGTTCTGATTTTGCTTGTTACTTGTCTTCTGCTAATTAACTTTGGGCTTTGTATGCTCTTGGTTCTCTAGTTCTTTTAGTTGGTGATCTCATGTTATTAACTTGAGATCTTTCTCACTTTTGATGGGGGCTTTTAGTGCTATAAATTTTCCTCAATACTGCTTTCACTGTGTCCCAGAGTTTCTGGTATGTCATATTGTTGTTCTCATTAGTTTCAAAATACGTTTTTATTTCTGTCTTAATTTTATTATTTACTCAAAAGTCATTTGGACCAGTTTATGCAATTTCCATGTAATTGTATAATTTTGAGTGAATTTCTTAGTCTTAATTTTGAATTTGATTGTGGTGTAGTCTGAGATACTTTGTTATGATTTCAGTTTTTGTTGTTGTTTTTTGTTTTTGTTTTTGTTTTTTTGCATTTGGTGAAGAGTGTTTACCTTCCAATTATTTGATCAAGTTTTGAGTATGTGCCATGTGGTGATGAGAAAAATATGTATTCTCTTGTATTTGGGTGATGAGCTCTGTGGATGAACGACAGGTCCAGTTGATCCAGTGCTGAGTTCAGGTCCTAAATATCTTTGTTAATTTTCTTTCTCAATGATCTGTCTAATATTGTCAGTGGAGTGTTAACATCTCCCACTATTATTGTGTTGGAGTCTAAGTACCTTTAAAGATCTCTAGGAACTTGCTTTATGAATCTGGGTTCTCCTGTGTTGGGTGCATATATATTTAGGTTAGTTAAGTTTTCTTGGCAAATTGAACCCTTTACCACTATGTAAAGGTTAAAAAAAAAAAAAAAAAAAAAAAAAAAACACCAAATTGAACCTTTTACCATTATGTATCACCCTTCTTTGTCTTTTTAAAATTTTTGTTGGTTTGAGGTCTATTTTGTCAGAAACTAGGATTGCAATCCCTGCTTTTATCTGTTTTTCATTTGTGTTGTAGATTTGTCTCCATTCCTTTATTTTGAACCTATGTGTTTTATTGCCTGTGAGATGGGCCTCTTGAAGACACCATACCAGTGGGTCTTGGTTCTTTATCCAGTCTGCCACTCTGTGTCTTTTAGTTGAAGCAGGTAGTCTATTTACATTCAGGATTAATATTGATATGTGTGGATTTTATCCTGTCATCATGTTAGTTGGTTATTTTGCAGACTTGTTTATGTGGTTGCTTTATAGTATATTTCAGTGTGCTTTTGTAGTAGCTGGCAATGGTATTTCATTTCCATAATTAGTCCTTCTTTCAAGAGCTCTTTAAGACAAGTCTGGTGGAAACAAATTCCATCAGCATTTGCTTGTTTGAAGAGGATCTCATTTCTCCTTTACTTATGAAACTTAGTTTGGCCAGATATAAAATTCTGGGTTAGAATTTCTTTTCTTTAACAGTATTAAATATTGGATCCCAATCTCTTCTGGTTTGTAGGGTTTCAGCTGAGGGGATCATTGTTAGTCTGATAGGCTTCCCTTTGTAGGTGACCTGCCCTTTCTCTCTAGTTATGTTCAACATTTTTTCTATTATTTTGTCCTTGGAGAATCTGTTGATTATGTGTTTTGGGGATGACTTTCTTGTAGAGTATCTTAGTGGAGTTCTCTGCATTTCCTGAATTTGAATGTTGGTATCTTTAGCTGGCTTGAGAAAATTCTCATGGATGACATTCTGAAATATGTTTCACAAGTTGGTTCCATTCTCCCCACCTCTTTTAGGTACACCAATCAGGCATAGATTTGCTCTCTTTACATCTCACATTTTTTGGAGGTTTCATTTATCCTTTTTCATTCTTTTTTCTCTATTCTCGTATGCCTGTCTTATTTTTAAAAGATGGTCTTCAAGCACTTGGTCTGTTCTGTTGTTAATACTTGTGTTTGCATTATGAAATCCTTGTAGTGTTTTTCAGCTCTTTCAGTTTAGTTATGTTCTTCTCTATACTCCATACTAGCTATTTTGTCTGTCAGCTCTTGCAGTGTCTCATCATGACTTTTAGCCTCTTGCACTAGGTTACAACAGTGAACTTCTTTTCTACCCATATTGTGAATTCTACTTCTGTTATTTCAGCCGTCTTAGCCTCAGCCCAGTTCTGAACTCTTGCAGGAGAGATGATGTGGTCATTTGGAGAAAAGAAGGTACCCTGGCTTTTTGAGTTTACAGCATTCTTGTGCTGATTTTTTTTTTTTTTTTTTTTTTTTTCTTATCTTTGTTCGCTTATCTGCCTTCAATCTTTGCAGTTGTTGACTTTCTAATTTTTTTTCTTTTCCTTTTCCTATTTGTTGACTTGGAGGGTTTGATTGTGGTATAAGGTGGGTTCAGCCACCTAGCTTTGCTTCTGGAAGATTTTAGGGGACCTGTTTTCAGCTTCCAACTCCTAGACTTTGTGCTGTAACTCTGGGGGACTTGTACTGGGCACCAACTTTGTTCTCTGGCTCCTTGAGATTTGGAGTTAACTGTGCTGGAAGACCAATGGGCAGCAGCTGCAGCTGAATGCTAGCAGATTCAGGGGTGCCTGGCTCCCTGTGGGCAGTAACCACGGTGGTGGAGGCAAGGCAGTTGTGGAGATTCTGTGTGCTGTTACAATGGAAGTGATTTGGGTTTGCAGCAGGGTATTGTCCAGCACAGGACCATGTGCCTTCTCTGTGACCCACAAGCAGCAGTGATTGCTCCAGGTGTGGGAGGATACCCTGCTCCCTGAGCAGCTTTAACTAAGCAAAGTGATGTGGGGAATTGCAATGGGCTTGGGGGAAGTTGCAGTTTGGGGCAGAAACATGCAGGCTGGTGTATGCCACAGAGGCCATCTTTCTGGCACTCTTCACTGGTCAGGCATGGTACACCTGCATGGAAACTATGGTATGAGCCTCCAGGGTGCCCAAGATTGCCCTGTAAGCTGGCATGATAAGTTACTATTTATTTTTGTCTTTACTATTAATTACTTTCCTCATCATCATCCTTGGAATTCCTTTATCACTGCCATGATTAGATACAAAATTTCTGGATACCTGATTTTATATATTTAAACATTTTTGGTTGATTCCTTCCTTTTTATAGATCACATTCTGTAGTTATGGTGCTTCTTCAGAAAAATTAGTTAATTTTTATTTTAGTATCTGAAAGTACTATTCTATTCAATTACTTGATTGATATGGAATTGTGTATAAAAATTTTTATCAGAATTTTAAGTAGTCACTCCACGGTCTTCAACCCATCATCAAGGTTCTAGTTTCTATCACTGATCCTTTATAATTGTCCTACTGTTATCAAACTCCAAATGTAGGTCTGTGTACCCAATGCACAGTAAACCAATCACTGACACATCAGCACCTAGGAGCAGAGAAAGGTTTATTCAATTTGGCAAAAGTTAGACAGTGGGAGAGATAGTTACTCAAATTTGACTTCCTTTCAACATAACGGAGGGCTTTTATGAGCAAGATAGAAATATGGGAGGTGGGATGTCCCAATGATCAAAGCTGATTGCATTCTTCAGATTCTAGATCTCATCAGTTAATTTCAGAGTTATAGACATTAACTACGAGGTCTGCATGATGTAAGAAGCATCATTCTTTGAAAGAAAAACAAGTTTATCAATCTTACAAGGAGTATTGGCGGTTCGGATATGAATAAAGTTAATCAATTACCAGTGACTACCCTCTACCAAAATGACTACTTTCAAGCAATCATTCAAGGAAGATGAAAAGGATAACATAAAAGCATATAAGTAAAATAACCGTCCTATGATCTTTATAAGAAAGGTTTGGTCACACTACCATTATCTTCTGGGGAGCTTTTAAGTTCTATTAATTAATTTTAGTACTCTAACAGTCCATGAAAATTTGTTCTGATTAATAAGTAATTTAAATTTAATTTTCTTGGACTTCTTAGTAATCTTATTTTTTGTGTATTGGAGGAGGAGGTGAAATTCTTGTATTATTTCTTTTATTATTACCTTCTCTCTTTTTCCTGTGTTCTTAATTTCTGAACACCTGATTGATATTGGATCAGTTTTTATGTAATGTGTTCCAATATTGTTTCCTTTATGTTCAGTCTTTAGAACAATATATTTGATGCAATATGTAAATATAAATAATATTTTAGTGTTCCCTCTGTGTGGGTGAATCTCACATAGTGGCCTTACCTATTCTGGAATTGGTGTCATAGACCAATGTGACAAGGAATTGGGGTGCTACTTTTGATGTTCCAGGTATCTTATTGTCTTATCTGAACCTTTTAATTTCTTATATTATTCAAATATTTGGTAAATATTGATATTAGGTAAGGTTTGACAATCTCAGTCTGTCTGTTAGCTTAACTAATTTCCAGCATTCTGAGAGTTAAGCATAGTAAGACAATAGAATTCTTCTTTTTTATTCTGTTGGCTTCTGCTTAATTCAACCTTTTCTTTTAATATGACTCATTTTTATTACATACATTGTGCCTGATATACTGTTATTTGAAATCTCTTAGGTTTAATTTTTTTCCTGCAGAAAGTAAGCTTCATCTATTTTTCTTAGAAGAGTGTAAGTGCATGGATACTTGGATGAGTGAGGGAGGGATGGAGAATTATCTAACTTAGCTTTCTAAATACTTTCAAGTAATTCCTCTATTTCAGCTTTACCATTATCTCACACTTAAAAAGTTACTGGGGTCTCCAATGTCTGAAAGTTTTAAGTTACTTTAGTTCATTTTTCTTGTTAACATCTTTAACTGCAGACATCTTTTTCTTAGTTACTCTCTGACCATCTGCTTCATATTTGGCAAAATTGTATTGTAAACTGTTTTATGTTGCTTCTCTTTTCCCTTTGTGTTTATGCATGTCTGTGCAAGTTAATCATTTACTATGATGTCAGTAGACTTTTGAGTGGAATTGGACATCATATGCATGTGGAAAATCTTTTTCAAAACAAAATTTACTAGAATATATTTCAAATCTCAGTAATACAGATTATGCAATGTCAGTCCCCAGACATCTATAAAGATTTCTACTGAACAAGTCAGCCATTGAAGCAGATTATTCGCCATCTGTGATCCTCAATTCCAAAAGAATTTTTGTTTCTGGTAATGGCCAAATAAGCATCTATATGAATATTTTTCTACAGATAAATATGAACTTTGAACAAATGTAAAAAGCAAAACAAACAAACAAACAAACAAACAAAAAGCCAAAGGCACTGGAAATGACCCTAAAAAGCATATTCTGGAGGGTAGTCTACAATAGAAAAAGGAAAATGACACTGACTGAGTCTCTCATTTACTCTAGCTGTTACACTAAAGGCAGTTCTAAACCATGCTATGGATAGTGGCCAAAACTGCAATAGAAAGGGCATTGTCTTTCTGATTTTAAAGACATACTAGAAGAGAGAGTTTGGGACAACCATAGCTGCTAGTAAGTGAGAATACACACTGCACAGGAAAGAGCCAGAGAAAGAGAAGGTCGCCAACTTGGAATTACAAACTGTGTCCACGTCTCTAGAATAATGACTTTGTGGGTCTGACTCTACGCAAGTCACCTAAGGATAAAATAACTGAACTAAGACTTCAGCTGCCACACAAAGATAGATTTTGCAGAGGTGTGATTTCAACCAAGTAAATTACATTATAGACTAAATAGAAATAAAAGATTCAGAAGAAGATTACAGAACTCATGATCTCCAAAGCATAATATTCAGAATTTTCAACATGTATCCTAAATTATTCCAAAACATGAATGAAGAAGAATGTTTTTATTTTCAAGATAAATGAAAATCAACGGAGACTGACAGCAAAATGACTCAGATGTTGGAATTAGCATAACAAGGATTTTAAAGGAATTATGCTGAGTGATGTAAAGGAAAATATGTTTGGAATGAATGAAAAATTAAGAAATCACAGCAAAGAGATAGAAATTACAAAAATATGACTACGTAAAGACAGTAACAAGGTGTCATTTCAATTTATATGGAAGTAGAAAGTTCTACATATACAAAGCAATTCTGAAGAAAAAAAGCATAGTTTAAAGCAATTCTGAAAAAGAACAGCATGGTTTAACTGCTCACTATAAATGTTTTCAAGAATATTATAAAGCTATAGGAATCAAAATAATATGGCAATGGTGTAAAGATTGATGAACAAAGCCATAGAATAGAATTTGAAATCCAGAAATAGATTTACACATATTGGGGGGGGTGCTATTTAATTTTTATGAATATATTAAAACAATCCAAAGAATGTACAGGGAAGGAGCATTTCACATGCCTGGGTTGCTCAAACCCTGAATATTTCCCATAAGCATCTTTCTTCAGGATGGGCTCTTGGCTGGCTCTTCAAAAATGAGCTCTGAGGCTCTGGAATATTCTGCCTGAGAAGAATGCTTCTGTACGTCTGATGCCTCCATCCATGTGGTAAAAAATTGATCAAACTGTTTATACTAATGATGTGTTTTATTGTGAACAACTGTTTTTGCAAGCCTGAGACTTTATATTGCACAGTACAAGTTTAAATGGGTAGATTTTGTTAACAATGAGATTTATGATAAGTGTCTGAAGAACTAAAATCTCAATAGCTGAGGACACTTACACAGGTGCTGCATGCCTGTGTGACCAACCCCTAATAAAAACCTCTGAAGACGAAGCCATGGTTGAGCTTCTTGACTGGAAATATATCACATGTATTGCCACACATCATTGCTGGGATAATAAAGCACATTCACGGGACTCCACTGTGAGAGGACACCTAGAAGCCTATGCCTCAATGTCTTATAGACTTTGTCCTATGTACCTTTACAGTTTGCTAATTTTAACGTGTATCTTTTCATTGTTAAAACACACTAAACATGGAGATAGTAGCTCTTTCTGAGTCTAGAGAATCTTCAAGGCTGAAAGTGGCCATGAGGAGTCTCTACCCATAAATAAAACATATTTTTAATGAATGATACTGAAATAACTATATTTATATGGAAAAAATGAATCTCCATCCATAACTCACAATATATCTAAAAAAAATTCAAAATGAATTATTGACTGAAACATAAAAACTTATACAAAAGATTTTCAGAATAAAATACAGAAGAATGTCTATTTGACATAAAGCTAGGCAAAGATTTCTTACAGGTAGATAAGATACAGGACAAATGATGACATATGGAAAAAATGATATATTTGATTTTACCAAGAATAAATCATCAGTGAATCAAAATATTCACAAAATACAACTCCTACAACAAAACATTATAAAGACAAACAACCTTTTAAAATGGGCAAAAATGTTTGAACACATATTTTATACATTAAGATATATAAGTGGACAATAAACACATAAAAACTGTTCAGCATCAATAAGTAAGTAGGGAATGGTATATTAAAGCAACGTTGTGATATCATTACACACACCCTCTAGGAATGGCTAAAATTAAAAAGACTGACAACATCGAATTTTGGCAAGGTTAGGGCCAACCAAAATTTTCATACATTGCTGGTAAAAATGAAAATATCACAACCGCTTTGGAAAACATTGTTAAAATTTTTTACAAAACTTCATATACATCCATTATATGACCCAACCATTCAACTGCTAGACATGCACTCAAAATGAAGAAAGGCATACAAAGGATTTCTACAATAATGATTTTAGCAGTTTCACACAAACCCGGTGTTCATCAATAGGAAGATGAAAAATCAAAACATGGTATAGCTATAAAATACAATAATATTTAAAATATAAATATATAAAAATAATAAATGAATGTTGTAACTAATATCATGGCTGAATCTCAAAAATACTTTGCTGAGTTAAACAAGCTTTGCACAAAGTAGTATATTATGTATTATGTATGATCCCACGTATAGAAAGATCTAGAATAAGGAAAAATAAATTATGATAGAAAAGATGTTGCTTCTGGTGATTGGGGTGGAGCTCTGATGGACAGGGAAGGAGCATGAGGGAGCTTTGTGGGTTAATGGTAATGTTATAGACCTTGCCAGGGGTTTGGTTTACATAGCTGTATTCATTTGTCAAAACTTATATTAAATGATGCAATTAATATTGATGCATTTCATTGTGTGTAAATTTTCCCCAAAAATATTTTTAGACAAATTATAAAACCTAGTTAAAGACATATATGCTGATATTTTCAGGGTTACCTCTCTTGATGTCTGCAACTTACTTTGAAATGTTCAAAAGGAAAATAGAATAATGGATGGAAACAGGGACAGAAAAATGGATAGATGTATAAATCAAACAAGCCTATCTAAATGTTAAAGCTTAATTATAGGTGATGAATGTAAGAGTGTTGAATGTTAAATTCTTTCAACTTTTATGTTGAAAATTATCATAGTAAAATATTTGAAAAACTTATACATTGGAATATCACAGCAAGTATACTATTTTTACTGTGATTTTGGAACTGAAGTTACTATTACTGATGATAGTATACTGAAGTATACTGTTTCTACTGTGGTTTTGAAACTCAAGATAATTTCCTACAGAAAGTTTTTTGACAATTTTACTTTTGAAAATTCCCATTGATCTGTTAGTCATCTTCAAAATGTCTGGAGAAAAGCCAGGAAACATATATAACCACAAATGGACAATTTCTACTGTTTTCATTACTTTGGCTTTAGAATTGCCACTACTGCTTGCTTAGTATTTAAAATTTGCTGGTCTTAAAGCAACAGTCTATTTTTCAATCTTGGGGAAGATTCTGATTGTATAACATACTAGATGGATCCATTACTATTGTTAAAAAAAAGGACTAGTAGCCTGTATGATTGCAAACTTAATAAAGAAAATGAACTAGGAAGAATGAAATAAAAAGTTATATTAGGTTTATTAGTCTACAATGTTCTCATGTCCAGAAATAGTCTACTGAAATTTGGAGATATTTCATGATTATGCCCTTATATTTTCCCTATTCCTTCTGTTTAAATTTTTATAATAGCTCTTTAAAATGCATTAGTTCTTATCACCTTTTAATCTATCTGTATTTCGTGCAAGCAATAAGATAAATCGCTAAATGAGCTCAATTTGACAACATTGTAGGCATATTCTCATACTTTATCTTATAGATCATCCTAACACACTCATTGCACTTCGCTGAAATACCATGCCTAGTTCTTAATATCATTTCTAAACTAAATAAGGAACAAGTCAAAACCATAACAGAATAAAAGAGTCTTCAGTAAATCTTTTCAATGTTTTTCTACCTTTATAGATAACTGTCTAAAGTACGAGCTTTTATTATTTTTTTCACTTAATATTATCAGGAGAACTCGCTCCCAATGTTTAATGTGGGTTCTTTTCTATTTCCTAAGTGTCTCAGCTGGGTTGAGAAATAAAGGGAAAGAGCACAAGAGAGAAAAATTTAAAGCTGGGTGTCGGGGGGAGACATCACATGGCGGCAGGATCCGTGATGTTCCTGGAGACGTAAAACCAGCAAGTTTTTTTTAGCGATTTTCAAAAGGGGAGGGAGTGCACGAATAGAGTGTGGGTCACAGAGATCACATACTTCACAAGGTAATAAAATATCACAAAGCAAATGGAGGCAGGGTGAGATCACAGGACCACCGGATGAGGTGAAATTAAAATTGTTAATGAAGTTTCGGGCAGGCATTGTCATTGATAACATGTTATCAGGAAACAGGGTTTGGGAGCAGGTAACCTGTCTGACCACAATTTATTAGGTGGGAATTTTTGTCCACGTGATAAGCCTGGGAGCACTATAGGAGACAGGGACTTATTTCATCCCATCCGCTTCGACCATAAAAGACGGGACGCCTTAAAAAGGTGCCTTCTATAGACTTACCTTCAGGGCGCATTCGCTTTCTCAGGGAAGTTCCTTGCTGAAAAAAATAATTCAGCGATATTTCTCCTATTTGCTTATGAAAGAGGAGGAATATAGCTCTGTTCCGTCTGACTCACCAGCGGCCAGTTCAAAGTTAACTCTCTTGTTCCCTGAACATCGCTGTTATCCTGTTCTTTTTTAAAGATGTCCAGATTTCATATTCAAACACACATGCTCCACAAACAATTTGTGGAATTAATACAATTACAGGGTCCTGAGGCGACATTCGTCCTCCTCAGCTTACAAAGAAGATGACGGGATTAAGATATTAAAGTAAAGACAGCCATAGGAAATCACAAGGATATTCATAGGGGAAGTGATAAGTGTCCATGAAATCTTCACAATTTATGTTCAGAGATTACAGTAAAGACAAGTGTAAGAAATTATAAAAGTATTAATTTGGGGAACTAATAAATGTCTATGAAATCTTTACAATTTATGTTCTTCTGCCGCGGCTTCAGCCGATCCCTTCCTTTGGGGTCCCTGACTCCCCGAAATATAGTATTATAATTTTACAAGTCCAACTGAGACCCTCCAAAATTCCTTCCTACATTCAATTCCTTTCTTCTTTCTCCATTTGATAGCATTCATCCTGTAGGTAACATCCTTATTGCCACCTCAACATTTAAAAAATAACCAATGCAAAGTTTTCAAAACAGAATTATTTGTACTTCTCTATTTTATTAGTTTATACCTAGTTTTATAATATAATAATAGAGGGACTTTGTGATTGCATGTGGCTGGTGTCACTCTAACTTTATGCAATAGGTTTCACTAAGGTGTTGGCTGTGAATAACACCACCCTTATCTCCCAGGATGGACCCTAATTTGCATAATTCATTCAGAACCATCTCAATACTCTGGTCACTGTAATTGCTGTGATGGTAACAGCTTAATGCTTGAAGAGACATTTCAGGTGACAGTATGAGGCATAGTGATAATCAGGTTAAATTTGGTGTTTTTCTGAATGTAGGGCATGAAGGTGAGGAAGCAAGGAAGCCATATTGTTTATGGTGCACAGGACAGTGTGGAAAAGAACAAGAAAATTGCAGCTCAAAACACCTCTAATTCAAGGGATGAGAGAAAAAAAATATTCTAGGGCGTCTGAGGTCTCATGTGTATACACCAAACTTTCGACAGCTTGGAGTGTAGATGTGAGACCTCAGACGCCCTAGAAATTTTGCTACCAAAAAGCAAGCTATCCTTAGGATTGAGTGAAGATACAACAGAAGAGAGAGGTACAGAAATCACAAGAAATATAAACAAAAATATGATCAAACCATGCTTTCAAAGTAAACTTTTTCAAGATATGTTTAATGATATAAAGCAATACATTCCAGTATGGTTAAAATTAATTTGAGCTGAGTTTTAAGTCGTTTATAACTAATATTATCCTAACTGAAGCATGTACTTATGACATTGCATGGTTACTTCTTGTATGACTTTCTCTCTATTCAGTCAAGAGCTCCTGAGAGGAAAAGTCATTCCTTCATCCCATATCTGTAAAATTTAGCATAGAGTCTGACTCATATAATAAATCAGTAAATATTTACTTAAAAATGAGTGGTAGTCATGGTCATATACATTTTTAAAAAATAAACATCCATTTATTTTTGGTCAAATCAAGATGCACATATGTTTGACTCTCATTATTTGTGGATTCCATGTGTATGAATTCACCTACTCACTGTTATTCTTAACCCCCAAGTTCATGCTCACTGACCTTTTGCAGTCATTCTCTCAGATAATGGAAACATGTGAGTGGCCAGATGTGTTGCTTCCATAAGGGTGGATGCTCTGCCTTCTTGTTTTACCTCTCACGCAGTAATGATAAGAGGATGGTAGGAGGCAGTGCATCCTAATCCAAGAAGCTTCACTCTGGAGTCAGTTGAAAGGCCAGATAGAAATTTGTCAACTGGTAGTTGGGTAGTCTCAGTAAGTCACCTAACACTTCTGAATTTACTTTTCTCTTTTGTAAGATAAATAAAATAGAAGCTATTAGGATGATCTGTTTTTTGTGATTTAAGATTATAATCTATGTGACAAACACGTGTACACATACACATTTCTCCTAAAAGCAGTGTTTCAGTGTCTGCTAATTCAGAGTTTGTGGATGACTTTGTAAAACATTAGTGTTATGAAGAATAAAAAATTAACTGTTTATGCAAAATCATACTTAAATAAATGCATGAATATATTTGTTTGGGCTAGGCTATAATAGGATATATTAGACTAAGTCATCTAGACAGAGTCTTGCAACTTGTGGCAATGACTGCAATAGCTGAACTTTAAGGTCCCTGTAATAAGGGAAGAGTAAACAGAGAAGGCATACTGGACATTAACTACATTTAAAGTTATGTGATTCACTTTGCTTCAAACTTTATTGATAATACTCATAATGGCCAAACTTAATAGAAGAAGGAACCAGGGGATTTAGGAGAGCACGTTGATATTTGTTAAACTTACACATTTGCAGCCACAATGTATATACTATTTGATTGTATAAATTACATTTTCCAAAATAAACTGTGCAAGTTCTTACATAAAAATTCTTGGGAAATGTTCTAAAATTTAAATATGTAGTCAGATAATAATAATTTTATGCTCCTATTGGAGTTTGTAAATATTTAAAAAATAAAATAGAGAATTGGATAGCTCCCACAGTCAATGGCAGTAGTAGAGTCAGTTTTCTATCAATAACTTGAATAGCATTGTTTATAAATATAACTGTGAGTTTCAAAATATTAGTTAATGTTGTCCACATGGTATCTGAAAAGCAAATAAAATAAGAAAAACTTATTTTAAAACATTATATTATCTCCATTTTATAATAATATGCCTAATATGCCTTTCTTTAATCTCCAGATACATTTTCAGTAAAATCACTTCTAAGTGTAAAGCAACAGTTTCAGTTCTTAGTACACAACAACACTTTTAGTAAATGTGGAAACTCAGAATATTGTGCACTTACTGTTTTTTTTTTTTGTTTTTTTTTTTTTTTTTTTTTTTTCTTTTTTTTTGAGACGGAGTCTTGCTCTATCGCCCAGGCTGGAGTGCAGTGGCGCGATCTCGGCTCACTGCAAGCTCCGCCTCCCGGGTTCACGCTATTCTCCTGCCTCAGCCTCCCGCGTAGCTGGCACTACAGGCGCCCGCCACCACGCCCGGCTAATTTTTTGTATTTTTAGTAGAGACGGGGTTTCACCGTGTTAGCCAGGATGGTCTCGATCTCCTGACCTCGTGATCCACCCGCCTCAGCCTCCCAAAGTGCTGGGATTACAGGCGTGAGCCACCGCGCCTGGCCTGTTTTTTTTAAGATTAGCAATTTATTTTATTTTATTTTATTTTTGTAATTTAAAAGTATCGCACCTGAAAAGGTGTCTTGAAGTCAAAGTGAAATGTTTGAAAAAAATACAGCTTGAAGGGGAATTAGAATAGAGATCAAACAAAAATGATTAAGAATCTGAAATGATGTACCTTTTTTTTTTTTTTTAAGAATATTAAAGTTGTTCCTTTCAA